TAGGGAGTGATGGGTCACCTGGCTTGAGCATCCTTGTGGGGCAGGAGGACCCTGCTCAGGGACATGGAGTAGGGAGGTCACAGTTGTTTTGGCATCCAGGAACATCCAGAGGCTGGTCAGGTCCGTGGGCAGAGGATGTGGGCTGGGGCTACTCAGTGGCATTCCCCAGCACCAGCAGCTGCCACCACCATGAGACTGGAGGAATGAGAGTGGCAGATGGAGGAACTGGTTTGGCAAACAGGTTGTTACTGGGGATCTGCCCACGCCAGCGCCTGGACGTGACTCAGGCGGGCTGGAGGGGCAGCCCCAGGTGGGGGTGAAGGGCATTGTCCCTTCCTTAAACCAGCCATGCATTGTCCATGGGCTCACACCACTGGCCTGGCCCCAAAGACCCCACAGGTTCCCCCCAGACTCCACCTCTGGCTCTTTCCAGTCTTGTGGTTTCTCCTTAGCACTGATGGCCCAGAGAGCAGGAGGGTGTGAGGGGGGTTGTTGTGCTGAACGGGGCTCATCTCAGGGGGCTTTTAGCTGCCAGAGCTGTGGGAAACAGGGCTCCATGCCCCTTCCCTAGCTCTGCCCTTCAGCTGCACTGCAAGCAAGGGCTGGGCATGCCAGCTCTGTGCTTTATCTGCCCAACAGCCTTATGGCAATATTTGTTCAGGGCCTCAGGATCCCTGCAAGGGGCCACAGGAACAGTTTCCCATTGCGCACGAGTTGCTGAGGTCTTGTGTTTCCACCCCCTGCAGAGGTCAGTGGGAAACTCCTTTTGCACTGTGTCTGTGTCTGGGAGCTTAACTGCAGCCAGGCAAAAAACACCCCCTCCTAGCAGGGACTGAGGTGTCCTGAGGAAAGTGGCTGTGGGGAATGATTTGTGGGAAGGAACATGGATGGCACAGCAGGGCAGGGCAGGGCACAGAACAGCACAGCATAGTACAGAACAGCCCAGCACAGCATAGCCCAGCACAGCCCAGCATAGTAAAGCACAGCCCAGCCCAGCACATCACAGCACAGCACAGCTCAGCATAGTAAAGCACAGTCCAGCATAGTAATGCACAGCCCAGCATAGCCCAGCACAGCCCAGCATAGTAAAGCACAGCCCAGC